CTTCGAGAATTGACCACCCACACCAATGCCCAAACACCCGCGAAGATGTCGACCCCGCAAGCGAAACGTCGCCGGCTGAACGAAGCCACGAAAACGCTCCAGAAGCCGTTCAAATCGCCGTTCCGCACACCGTTGAAGCCCAGCATAGGCGACGACCCGCCATCCTCAGATCCGCCTGAGGTCCACACTCCTGCGCTTGATACACCTAGGACAACCACCGCTCCTGCTAGAAGTACCGCCCCTGCAGGCAATGGCGCACAGCAAGCGGCCACCTGTACCGCCTCTATGCAACCCCCCAAAACGCCAGCAACGTCTAAGGTGACACCACGTGTCTCGAAACCTCTCGTCTCACGTCCGAACCTATCTACCCCGTCACGTGTCGCGTCGAAGAAGGCACCGTCGAAACCCTCGGTCGCACGCGAGATCATGCAAATCCGCAATGAGATCCAGATGCTTACACAAGCTCAGACCCTGGCAACGTCTACAAAGGATGACGACCTGGTCGTACTGGTCGACAAATGGCGTACAGCAAGTCGTGCGGCGGCGGAAGAGCTGTTTGGTAGCACTAGAGACAGGGTTAACAGAATGGGCGGGGTAGGCGCATGGAAGGAACGTGAAAAAGAATCCAAGGAACGGCAGATGCAATGGGATAAAGAAGAGATGGAGGCGGAACGTGAGAAGATGGAGGAGGCGAAAGAGAGTGGTGAGGTCTCTGAAGAAGCGTATGATCGCTACGCCGAGATGGATTCGGAGAGGGACAAAGGAGAGGAGGAGAAGGAGACGTTTAAGGGAGCAGACGATGATGTGAGTGCACGGATGTGTACATGCAAGTCGTTATACTAATGTTGAAGCAGTCGTTCACGATGGACATGATGCTCAAGACCCTTAACATCGACCTCAAGCTCATCGGCTACAACAAAGAGGCGCAGAGGTGGGATGGTTGATGATTTCGATCGAACAGCCAACAACACTCTTCGATATGCCTCGACTATTTCAAGTCTAAAGCTCATAAGCATAAGCGACTGGAAGTTGCGCGCATCACAAGATACGGACTCGCGCTGCGATGGTAATGCCAGATACGAATTGTAAGTCAACGCCTGAGACCTTTGATTTGTTACATGACTGATGCTATCAGAATGATTGTTTACAGAGATACCCTTATGAACTATATTTACTACACACCCAATGCAACGTGTTATACACATCGGACACCATTCGTAGATGACAAATGCGATGCTGATGACGTCATTCTTGCTCCACCGAAAGCCTACTAGCATGTTCATCCTCCGCATATGTATTTCCTGTGTAATCATTGTCTCCTCACCGTCAGTCACGACAAAACAGTCCCGAGGTTTCACACGAATTGAACTATCATCTCAAACCATCCGTCTTACTTACCCTTATACAACTTACCCTTACCATGTCACTCAAAGACCAAACCGTCCTCATCACAGGGGCTTCGATGGGCATCGGCGCCGCTATTGCGCGTCGACTAGCCGCTGAAAGCGCAACACTCATCCTCTTTGCACGCTCAGACGTCAAGCTAAAGGCCCTCTCCGACGAACTCAAGAAAGAGCACAAAGACTTGAAGATCTTCACATCAGTCGTCGACGTACAAGACCACACATCCCTCAGCACCGCCGTCTCAAACATCGTCCAGCAAGTCTCCCACATCGATGTCCTCATCAACAATGCTGGTCTAGCTATAGGCGCGCCGTCACGCTTCCCTGACCTCAAGATCCAAGATATCATCACAATGACGAGCACCAACATCAATGGGTACATGTTCGCTGCTTATACGGTGTTGAACGAGGGAAAGATGAAGGAGCGTGGCAAGGGAACGATTCTGAACGTGACTAGCACCACGGGACTAGAGGTACCGCCTTTCCCAGGCGAGGCTGTCTATCATGCTAGCAAAGCGTGCCAAGAGGCTTTCACAAACGTGCTGAGGACAGAGTTAGTGGGTACTGATATCAAAGTTCTCGCGTTACGGCCCGGTGTTGTGGCAACAAACTTCCATGAACAACGGTATGGCTTCATTCCCTTCTTCATTATTTCAGCGCTGCGGTGGAGTTCCGAGCTGACAAAACATGCAGTGTTGGATACGAAAAGCAGAGCTACGACACTTTCATGTCGGGCTTCGAGCCTCTTGTTGCGCCGGATATTGCGGAAGCGGCTGCGTTCATGCTGAGCCAGAAGGATAGGGTTAGTGTGAAGGCGTTGGATGTCGTGCCTACTGCACAGAGGAGTTTGCAGGTTTTCGATCGGGAGTGGAATAGTAGGGATGAGGGGAGGAAAGAGGAGAAGATGGGGAGCTAAGCAAGAGTGGAGTTGGAATGATAGCTGGCTGGGTGAAGTCAACCCTGGTTTGGATCAGCTAAGAGTGTCTGATGTAGCGATTATAGCTTTGAGCTGGGCGTCAGCATCTTCTGAACGAGCTCAACGACGCGCTCGGCGGTGCCCCTGCAAGAAACATTAGTATCGTACTGTCGACACAGCCGAGCTTCAGGGTACTCACCACGAAGACTGGTATCCCGCACCAGCATGTCCATAGCAATGCACAACCGGAACCTTCCACTTGCCCATCTCCGTCTCAATCCTCGGACCGCCCTTACGTGACGCTAGATACTGTCAGCCAGCTCCCATAAAACCACTTCCACATCGATACTTACGCCTCAAGCCCACATTCCGCCCAATAACCTGCAGATCCTCCGGCTTCCCCAACTCAGGACACAACTCACAGCACCGCTTCATGATATCCTGACCGAGCTCTTCATCCCACTCTTCACTCCAATCGTTGTCCTGTCGACTGCCACCTAGAATCACGCCGCCGCCTAGCGGACGGGGGAAAACGTAGGTTGTCGTGGGATCGATTCTCTTCGGAGAGCGGAAAGACCTAGTTCGGTTCGTTAGTTAAATTGGATACACAGAGAATAGTCGGGTCTGGGGCGGAGGAAGGCAAGTAGAATAGCAGTTTCGTACTTGACTCGTTCCATTTCATACATTCTGGTGATTGGCGTTTTTGGTTCGGCGACGAGTAGTGTCTGACCACGTGTTGGGTACAGATTCGTGTCCTTGATGTCGGAGAGCTTGAGGGAGCCGAGACCGGTGCAGTTTACCAGGAGGGTGGTGGATGGGTGGTCGCTTAGGACCTCTGCGACGGAAGGGTAGTGTCGGCGCACGAGACTGATGCCTTTGCACAGGGCTTGAGCTTGGAGCCTGGTACAATATCAGTCTTGCGAAGTATCAATGGCACTGAAGCTAGGACTTTGCATCATGGGAATGAGGATCAGGAATACGTACCACTGCAGATAAACCTGGGTGTTGATCCTGAACGTACTTGGGAACTCGAATCCAAAGTTCGCTCCCTCGGGCAACTCACTTCCACCCAACTTCCTCAAACCCCCGACTAACTCATCATACCACACCTTACCCGTCGCCTCCGTCAAAACGCCCGCTTCTTCAATCGGCTCATCGAATGCAGCCCACATACCCATTCTCCCCAGACCCGCTTCATTCCCTCCTCCATTTACCCCATCGATGCCTTCCGTCTCACCAGCCTTCAGAGTCTGACAACCAAACACACTCTTCCCGTCGATAAGCTCACCGAATCGGTGGAAGGTGACCTCGTCGTATTTCTCAAGTGGCCCGTTGTCGTGGGCCATAGAAGACCAGTTGGCGCCCGCCCAGGGCGATGTGTATTCTATAGAGCGGTCACCGGGGAAGTGCTTCGCTACTACAGTTATCTTGGCAGTGGGGTACGTGTGGGATAGGACGAGTGAGGTTGTTAGACCGATTACGCCGGCGCCGAGGATGAGGATGTGTTGTTGGTCTTTTTGGGAAGCCATGATGGGTGGTTGGGTGAGAATAGATAGCTTGAATATGGGAGATGTTTGAGGGTGTTGATGATGAGATGCTTTGATGACAGTTAGGCTGAAGTGCGAGTTCTGCGTCGAACCTAGTTTGGATATCAAATGCTCAAGCGTTGCACGAAGCTATATACGAAGCTATATGAATGTCAATGACTCATCTCCATCATACATTCGGTACAGCGGAGTAAGATTCACCCATACCTTGTACGCTATCCCGAGTCTCACCAGCCTATTCCGACGGTAAACAGCGACTGTCTTATACACGGTATTGTACAAGAACCAAATCGACGCAAGCTCGATGGAGCATGTAAGTAGTCGCGTAGATCACACTGAATTGAATGACAGTATTGCTTGATCAGTGAGATGTGTTGTCAAGTGTCGATTACAGAGGTCGAGCGAGGATGCAGATAACGCACCGATGGCATTCCGATCGGAATGAGCGGTTCCGGACAAGCGTACACTACAAACCACGCCCAGGTACGGTCCTGAACGTCGAGCTGCTTGGACTCATTGCATGCATGGATCACTGGTGATGAGCTAGATAAGTCTGTTGGAGATAAAATAGGGTATCATTCAAAGTAGGGAGAGATTGTATGGACAAGACTATGAACAGGGTCCAGAACGCATTATTATGTACCGAAAGATCAGCCAACTTTTACAGTCCATTTTCCGTGCACCCAAGACACAAAAAGAAATATTATGCCGACTGCTTCATAAACCAATCTGAGCTCGCATCAACCATGTAATTGGTAATGTTCGACTCGTTTCCAAACCCGCCGTCTGGCAATTGGATGTTGCCGTCTGGCGCAGGGTAACTCATGGCTCCGTCTATCGACACAGGGAGTCGAGGCATGTTGAAGAAGTCGAACACATCGAGATACTCTAGCTCATTCGCTGCAGGTGTTCGAGCTGGAGTCACCGATGGTATCTTCAGATTTTGTTTGTTGCTGAGCTTGGGTTGGCGGGATATGAGGAAGTCGAGATCGAATGCACATCGTCGCATGTCGGCGAGGATCTTTACGGTTGAAGGTGTTACGCGTTCACCATTCGCACCAGCCGGAGTGTCCTGGCTCTCTTGATATTCGGAAAGTACGCGTGAAAGAAGACTTGCATAGCGCGTGCCTACTTCCCAGTACTGACCCATGTCCTGGAGAGTGCTGACAAGGAGGTTGATGGATTGATCGACTCGGTGATCGATGGTGGATCCGTGGACCAAGAGAACACGTGCGGCTACCCAGAGCGAGAATGCGAAGGGCGGGCCAAGTTTGCTCAGCAAACCGTTGTCGCGTACGGTAGCACACAAGGCTGTGATATTCTCAACAGCACTGAGACACCGCTGGCTAGCGCTGAAGGACGGTGTGAAGATGGGTGAACGATGGGTAGGGTACGCCGCAGATGAGTGAAGACGAATCACAGTGCTGCCAGAGTTAGTTTCTTCCTTAAGGCAAAGGGAAGACAAACTTACGTGTGGAAGGCCGCATGGAGCATCACCAAACCACTATCCAAATTCTGTCCCATACCCGGCTTTGCAAACAATCTCGCAGAGTTGCCAAATTCTTGAGGAAGATTGTACTTCCATTGCTCGATGGCATTGTCAAGCTCACGGTACTCGCTTTGCCAGGTCTCAACGTCGGACAAGGATGTAATGTCTACAGGCTTCTTGAGGAACTTGTGGATGCGTGTGAGAATCCCCAGGACTTCGACGTAGTATGAGAAGGAGCCCAGGTTTTCTGGTCTGTTCATGCTGTAGTCGGATCGTGTCGAAGTGTGGAACCATCGCGTCTCGACGGGCACGTTGCGCGCATACATGTCGTCGCGACACGGCAACCGACGGTCGATCTCCTTTTCGTCGAGAGCGAATTCGAAAGCCGTGGCAACGGTCGCGTATCGGTCTAAGACGTAGATCATCCAGAAAAGGCGGCGTCGGCTCTCTTCTTCGATCCAGTCCTTGGGCTCAGGCAGCGTCATGGCGCGCAAGGTGTATATTGACGCAAATTGTGGAGCGACGCTCGGTGAGTAGCTTTCGACTGATACTCCTAGCTGGACGACTGAGCGCGTAATTAGAGCCAGAAGGTTCCAGCCGGGAGGGCCATTGGAGCAGCCAACAACGTCCAGAGCGAGGATCACAAGCGCCTGCAACGACTTTACAGAGCTGTTCTCGATGCCATACAGCAAGACCTTCTCTTTGGAGTTCTTATGGTAGCGCGTGCGCTTCTCGGCAGTCAAGCGCTGGTCGGTAGAGAACTTGACAGTTGTCGCGACAACTGCGTGTAGTATGATTCGATCCGCCTCTTCTAGCGTCGCGTCTCCGAAAAGCGAGTTCAGGGTGCTCTGGCGGTGGAGGATGGGACACCAGGTGTTGATGTGCTTGAAGAAAAGATCGACGAGGCCATATAGAAGGTCGTACGGTGGGAAGTCGGCATCCGCGTGACCGAGAGTCCTCGATATGGCCGGCTGGTATTGCTCATTGTATGGTGTGTAGCCATCCCTGGACAAGCCACCGCTCATGCTCACATCCTCGGACTGGTAGCCATTCCCCGTGACCGAGGGGGTGGGTCTATTGTCCGTGACGCCGTTGCCATACTGGTTCTGTATTGCGCTCTGCGAAGGGAACGTGGGCTTCTGTATGAAGAGGGCCGTTTCGGGACGCGGTATATGGGGGGTTTGGATGACGGGCGGGCTTCGGAACGCGGCTACCTCTTGCGGTGACGGGCCGGACGTGGCGACTTGGGTGCTGGAGAGATGGTTGATTTGCGACTGCTGCTGGACGAGGAGCGCTTCGAGCTTGTCTGAGGAAGGCACGATTGTCAGCTGTGGTCGCGATTGCCCTATAGGGTCTCTGGCTGGCGGACAGAAGGAGCGCCCGCTTAGTCAAGGTGCGCGACAGTCGTGACCTCCATCAAGTCCCATCTGGGCACTGTCATGACTGTGGGCGCGCGAAGTTTGCCAGCGATAACGGCAAACTTCAGTCTGCTTATTCAGACCTCGGCTACTCCAGAACAGGGTGGTGAGGATGCGCGACTTACCAAGTCTCGACTCGAGCTCCCGTCCATAGCCAGCGCGCAGGCCGGGCTTCTTGCGCGGAAGGTAGACCTGATGCGATTGAGTATTGGGAGTGATGTCAGTGGATGGCGCAACTGACGCATGCTGAGTGGTTCTTCAAGCACCAGGAACAGGCAGGCGCGCCTCTGTCGCATTTGACTTTTCGCTGCTCTACGCATGGTGAGCCTCAACAGCCTCAATATGTTGTGTCACACTTACTGCATGTCTCACAACTCACAGAAAGCGGCCGCTTCCGCTTGTTCGACGTGCCGCTTTGGCTTCTGTCATGGGCTTCTTCGTCGCTGGAGCGTTCATCACCACTCCAGTCTTGCGCATCGCCAGGAGAGTGGTTGGAGAGCTTCGCAGTGCCGTTTGGACTTGCCGCCTGCTGGTGGGTTGTGCTGGCGTCCATGATGATGAATGCGAATGCGATTGGGGGCGTGCAGGTTCGGAAGAGCTACACCGAGGGTTCTACTCTTGCAGCCCCGCCTGCACGCTCTAGTTCCCTACCCCAGATATCGTAAATCGTATAGACCGGCAAGCGCGCCCTCCGCATCCTTCGATTGGTGGCACCGAGTGGGCCGCTGGCTTTTCGGTACAATACTCGTCAGCAAAAACACATGCTTCGGCCTTGTCCACATTCCGACCTGGGTGCCGAACGCCTCACAGCGACGCCTATTCACGCGTTCGCGCTCCACTTCTTAGCCCAGGTATCAATGGCTCTTCCAAAGTCGTCGCAAATCGTCGCAAATCGCAGCGAGATGGACCGAGGGACCCTCTTGAGCAGACGCGAAGCCTGGCACGCCGCTATTCCGCGGTTTAAATATCATTTCTGACCCTCCGTGCACTTATCTACCCCTCCTCTATACTCTGTGGTCTTCTGCTTTGTCGATTCCACACTCCTCTCCCTAACGTGATCATGCCCTCCACCGAAGAATCTGGCGCAGCGCGCTCCTTCCCGACCATCAAACACGTGCGAACATTCATAACACAGGGCCCCGGCAGCGGCGGAGACTACCATAATGTCGCTGGCGGACATTGGCTCATCGACAGCAAGATCTCCACCCCCATGAGCGGATATGAGCAGTACCGAAAGTCAAGAACTAGCTGGGGAATCAATGTTCTGGGATCTTTCTGTGTAGAGCTCGAGGCCAGTGACGGCACCAAGGGTTTCGCTACTGGCTTTGGCGGGCCGCCAGCGTGCTGGCTAGTCGCTGAGCACTTTGAGCGCTTCTTAATAGGCCAAGGTGAGTATCCAGTTGTGCGACGCTACGAGTCTTCATTCTGATCCAAGCTAGATCCCAGAGACACAAACCACATGTTCGAGCAAATGTACCGTGCGTCCATGTTCTACGGCCGCAAGGGTCTTCCGGTCGCCGTCATCTCAGTCATCGATCTTGCTATTTGGGATCTGCTCGGCCACATCCGCAACGAGCCCGTATACAAGATGCTCGGTGGAGCGACCCGGGAAAGGCTCAACTTCTACTGCACTGGTCCCGAGCCAGCGGCGGCAAAGGAAATGGGCTTTTTCGGCGCCAAGGTACCACTACCATACGGCCCTGGTGAGGGTGTCGAAGGCTTGAAGAAGAATGTCGAGTTCCTTACCAAGCATCGCGAAAGCGTGGGGCCAGACTTTCCCCTCATGGTCGACTGCTACATGAGCTTGAACGTACCCTACACCATCGAAGTGGTCAAGGCCACCGAGCACCTCAACTTGAACTGGTGGGAAGAGTGCTTGTCGCCTGACGACTCAGATGGCTTTGAGCAGATCAAGCGCGCTCACCCCCGCATGAAGTTCACCACTGGCGAACACGAGTACTCACGATATGGCTTCAGGAAACTCATCGAGGGCCGCAACCTGGACATTCTCCAACCCGATGTTATGTGGGTTGGCGGTATGACTGAGCTCATCAAGATCTCGGCCATGGCTGCTG